ATGGTTCCAGCGCCGCAACTTCACCTATATTTGCAATGTCAGGAGATGGAAAAGAAGTAGATGATGTAGCTATTCCAGTTGTATTTTTGTTTAGTATAGAGGCTTCTGAATTATTAAAAGCAATTGCCATGGCAAATGGTGATCTTACAGTTACTCTTGGTAAGATATTAGTAAGATTACATTAATTTTATATATATTTTTATATATATTTTATATATATTTTATTATTTCAAATATTTCATCTATTTTGTTATTTTTTTTTAGGAAATTTTTTTTCAAAAGAAGATGCTCAATTGAAAGCACCTACTGATTTATCAATGTTTGAACGATTGAAGGGATCATTAAAATCTTTTCTTACGCGACAAATGACACCACAGGTCTGTATTGCTTGGTGTTTTGCAGTAATTTTTATTGAATACATTCTCCTTTGGATTTTAATTCATATGAAGCAATACTAAGTTATTTTGTTATAACTTATTATGGATAAAATCTTTTATTCTTATTACAAATATGTTACATGATATAAGATGGCAGTGTCAAATATTATTTCAAAATCAATCACAAAAACATAGATATTTCTTAATATTTATGATATTTATATTGAAACGATATAAAGATATATTTTTTATTCATACTGAATATTATGNATTATATATATTATGTTTTTATTATATTTTTATTTTTCCTTTTTTATTTTATGTATTAATTTAGTGTATATTTGTAACAAATATATTTCAGGTCATTAGATAAATAATTTTTTAAAATCAAATTTTTATAATTCTTTTTATACAAATTATAAAATAAACCTAAACATCGAGAGATATTTTTTTTATAACAGACATCTCCAAGCAGTGGCACAAATTTGGATATGGTTCCTGTGATTAAACATGAAGAAGATGATAAGGACATAATCTTTTTTTACAATCTACGCGCTGAAATTATCAAAGATGCACTTGGCGGGGAAGTAAGAATTACGTCGTCTTACATATCTGTTCCACTCACGAAAGAATCAGAGGATAACACATTAATAGAAAAACAATGGCGACAGATGAAAGAATTTTTTGTTAATCATATATATTTGGATGTTAAACAAAAGACAAGCTTACAAATCAGAAGTTTTATATTAGAAAGTTATTACAATTGGATAATAAAGTCACGAAATGGGGATAGTAACATATTAAAAATATCTTTACGAGATAAAGTTGCGTGGTTTTTAGAAGAATTAGCTGTAGTCGTACCAAATCCGTCCATTATGAAAATGGACCAATTAATGGATATTAATAAGCAAAAATTATTAAAACAATATTTATTAACAAAAATGGATATCATGGTTTTAAATATGAAAACAGTCACAACAATGCTAAAAACAATACGGTCTGAGAATCCAAATACTGAACAATTGTTCAAAATTTTCGAATTTAATATCGCGCAAGCTGGTAATTATAAGTTTTTGAAACAATTGTTACCAGGTATTTTTGACATGGAAGATGAAATTATAAGTGAACATCTTGCTCTATTAGATCGTGTTCATAAGAAATATCGTGAAATATTAACTGATGGAACAGAAGAAAATTTAGAAAAATCAATAATAGATAAAAATTTCTATTATGATATGATAATTGATAATTGGCAGGATGATTTGAAAAATTTTGAAAAATTGGATGTATTAAAGAAAATTAAAGATCAAGATTCTACAATTATAGATTTTATGGTAGATAATGAAAATAGTAAAACAGAAATAAAATCTAAAGACATTTCTAAAATGTCTAAGAAAAATGATGATCTTAAAGTGGGAAAATTTGAAGATTTTGAATATTTTATATTAGCAGAAATAGAAAAAGCTATGAAAAATTCGGAACAAAATAATATTCGAAAATATAAAGAACATATTGAAATTTCAAGAGATGTAACAGATAATATAAGTAAAGAAGCTGCTAATTCAAATAAAGTAGTTTTAAATGTTTCTTCTCAAAATCAAAGTAAAACTAATACATTAAAAAATAGAATAAAATATCAAATTGAATTTATAAAAAATAAAATTAAAGATCTTACAAAAAATATAGATTCTTTAGCAGATTTTACCAAGATTACAAACTCTCTAGAAAATGTACAATCAAATAATATCGAATTTCAAGAAACAATTACTAATAATAATAGTGCTGATGAACAAATACATAAAGAATCCTTATTATCTGACAATGATTTTCAAGTAAAAGATGCACAAATAAATACAAACAGTAGAACAATAGACAAAGATAAAAATAATGTATTCCAAAAGATTGGAAAAGAAATAGTTAATTTACAATATAATCAGGAAAATAATCCAAATTCTATTCATTTAAATACAAATAATTATAAAATTATATCCTCTAAACTGCCTAAAGAATATAAAAATCATATATCAACTTCTAAAGAAGAAGATAAAGATTTTATTAGTGTTCCAAAAGAATTTGAAACTATCAATATAAATTACAATTCTATAGATGAAAATAAACTACAACATAATGAAAAACATATAAATGAACTTACAAATAAGAAAGTTAATGTACAGAAACACAAAAGCAAACATATCGATGATGAATTATAATGAAAGTTTTTAAGTTTTAAAATATTAATATTGAATATTAAATAAAAAGTTAAGTGCAAATTTTTAAATACAACAAGTTTGGCAATTCTAATCACACTGCATCTAATATTTTTGCATTAAATTTAAACATATGCAGTGAACTTTAATATTTTATACATATGAAATTTAATTTAGAAAAATATTAATTATCAAATAAAAGAAAGTGATACAAATGACCAGAACAATACTTTAAGTCTATAGAACAGGTGTTTATAAAAGAATTCAATTTTACTTTTTATTCAAATAAATTAATAAAATTATAAAAAAGCCATATAATACATAACAGTTTGCACAAAACATTTATTCTAATGAGGTTGTGACCGAATATTCTGTTAAAATTCTAATGAATGTAAATTTTATATGTACAATTTAAACATATATTTCTTGTGCACATTACAGTATAATGTGACAGCATATTTTTTCAGATAAAGAATTTTTAATTACTATTATATATATTTAGAATTTTATTTCTTTATGTTTCTGTACTTCAAATATGTGCCATGATCGACAATATAAATTAATATTTCAACAAATAATGAATATTATGCTATTCATTTACAGTATAATTTTAACTTCTATTTTAAAAAAATATAGATAATGATATTATGATTAAATAGTTTCAAACTATAAATAATTGTATAAAACTGATATTCTTTAAATACAATAGTAGTATATTAACTTTATTAAAATATGTGTTATATTTTATTAAACAAAGAAACAAATGTATAAATTATTGATACAATTTTAAAAAAATTTTTTCTTTATAATAATTTTATTATAATAATTATAATTATTTTGATAATTTTAAAGATACAATATATTTTTAATTGAATATTAAGTGATATAATTGCAATTTCTGTTTATGTAAATCTGTTTATTAATCTATGCCTTACATATGTATATAAAAAATTGTACAAACGACAATGTACATATATATTTATGTGATATATAGGAAAAATAATAACAATGAAAGTGGCAATATATCAAATAGGATTTATGTAAAAATTTTGGTTTTCTGAAAATTACACTATATATTCTTTTTTGCTTGTAATACAAATTATATTTTGTAAAATAATTTCAAATTTATCATATAACAATTTAGGTTTACTATGTGCCATATAAAATGCACAAGAAATACATATGTTTTAAATCAAATCAATTTAGGATATATGGGATAGAATATATATCATGTACATATATCTTAAATTTATTAGATCAACTTTGTAGAATGTAACTTTGATTATGAATGTAAATATTATATAAATAAGTGTATATTAAGTATGTGTTCTACAATTAATATATAAAAGTTTGTATGATGAAAGCCAAAATAGACATTGCAAAATTTATTGTAATTAAAGTAATTACTATTTTGCATAGAATTAATATGTATATATATATGTATGTGTGTGTGTGTATAGTATGTATACGTACATACATAAACTTATATATGTATATATATACACACATAATTTGTTGTTTATTATATGAAAATGAAAAAGAAGAACGAATGTATGTATATGATACAAATCTGTTAAAAGTTTTTGGTACGTAAATAGAACGTGACATTTAAAAATGTGAATAAACTGTTGAAATGAAGAAATTTTTTGAACGATTAAGTATTGAAAATGCATATTCATGTAAATATTTTTTAAATTAAACTATTAATTTCTTTCGTATCAATATTTAAGTTCGTAATATTTTCTTTTAATTCTTCCCATAAAAATTTTATAATCTCAAATAAAATATGAAATTTTTCTTAGTATTAATGAATTATAATTTTAATGAAAAAGAAAAGAGATATAATTATTATAGATTTTAAAGAAAAATTATTTTTTTCAAAAATATATAAATTATTTATTACAATCATAATATATGAATGATTTTATTTATTTTATAAATTACTTTATTTAATTAACAAATGCAAATAATTATTTATTTGATGTTGTCTCTAAATTATAGAATAATTTTTTTATCTATATCAATTTTTTATCTATGTCATACATGAATAAATACTAACATTGAAAAATAATAGAAATAAATAATAAATAATACCAACAAATATTTGATGAACAATATAATATTCTTTAAAAATTAATTTATATTAATTCATATATAATATATAACATATAATATATTATATATAATATAATAATAATAATAATAATATAATAATATTAATATAATATATATTATATGTATTATATATATATATAATACAAAGCAAGTTTTATAACTGCAATAAAAAGTAAAAGAAATATAAACAAAAATTTTAGTGATTCTTGTTATTAAAGCTATAATTGTTTTATTTAAAGCCGCTTTTCATTGGAGTTTGCGCTTTTGTGTTACGACAACCTGTCGTCAGATGTTGGCTTTGCGTCAATGGGAAGAAGCTATTTTAATTTTGAATTTTGGATGACCTTAATATACTCTATTAAGTGTACGATATATGTATCTCGTTTTAACAAGTGAATAAAAAAATAAAAAATTTATAAAAAAACGAAAAATGTCAAAGGTAAGAAATTGTTTTTACTTGTATGCAAACCATGTAATATATGATTACCATGTGTTACTAACCATTCAAATCATTAATATCTAAGAAATTTATGTGAAATATATATTCTTATTTTAAATTAATAAATTATTTTAAATTAAAAAAGAATTTTATTTACATTTTTTTATTTGTTAATAATTTTATTAATTTTTAAATGTATATAAATTTGATATTTGTTGTAGATGAATGAACCATTAAAATATTATGGAAAAAGAAGAAGCATTGTTCGTAGAATTGGTTCAATGTTACCTTTGAAACCACCACCAAAAATATATGTTAGTGTTACACCCTTGCATTCAATGACAAGCTCTATGATTAATGAAGAAACTAGTGGTGATTATATTGATACAAATGGATATGGATCTGCAAGGTTTATATATATACATATTATATATACATATACATATTAAATTTTTTTTGTATTAATTCAATACATTTACTAATTTATATTTAATAATTTAACAATGTGTTTTACTGATAGATTGTCTAATGTCAGACCAGATTTATTGGAGCCTATTAGTTTTGGATCTGAAATTCGTTTACTTGCTTTAGAACAAGAGCTTCAAGAACTTAGGGAACAAGTTTCAGCAATAGTTAAAAGTAATAAACAATCTAGATGTATGTATATTTGAGATATTTATTTGTTTTATTGTTTATGTTTCAAATTTATTTTAACTTAAGTTCTATTTAGATACATCTGTTGCTTCTTTAACAAATGGGATGGATAGTGAAAACATAATACAGTCACAACAACAACCTCCTCCACCACCACCACCACCACCACCATTACCACCTCCGACTCCTCATATTGCAAGAAGAGCAAGTTTACAAGATCATAAAGTCGAAGATCGCAAAAGAGGTCCATTTGCTTCTCAAATTTCTATGACAGATGTATTAAAAGATATTGATAGTATTAAATTAAAACCAATTGCTAGGTAAATTATTTTTTATTTTATTAATATAGTTTATATATATATATATATATATTATATAATATATTGATGATATAAGTAGAAAAGAAGTGATTTAACATTTAAAAATATATCAAAAATATAAAAACTTTTTCTTTTGAAGTTTAATTCTTTATTAGAATCATCTTTGTGATTGAGTCATCATTCATCCTAGATACAATATTTCCTGAACATTAGTTTATAATTGCATTTATATATATTTTTTTAGATCACCTGGAGGACGACCTCTTCGTATAAAACGAGACAACAGTCCATGTAATGATTTGCAAGAAATACTTAGAAGACGTTACATTGCAATGAATTCAACTGATAGTAGAAACTCTTCAGCTAATTTGACATTGAATGACTCTTTCTCAAGTGATGTGTGAAAGTAGATTGAATGTTTATCAATGTGTGGAATGAAGGTATCATGGGACATTGTGAATGATATTAATAATAAGATAATGAGTTTGATTAATCAGTTTGGTTGCAATATTTAATATGTAGTTATAGATTATATAAATAACAAAATGAATCTGTCGAACATTTCTGAACTTATGATTATTGGTATTTTGTAGTATCAGAAATTAATTTTTAAAAATTAATATCTTTTTTTTAAAAATTATTATGTATACATACGTATATACGTATATATGTATACATATATAACCAAAGATAATATATTCTATATTGACATTGATAAAAATATTGGATTGTAAACTGTTAAAAAGAAATTGATATTTTTAAATTTTCATAAAATATAACTATTTTTTCTTTCAATAAATATATAATACATATAGCATATTATTGAAGTTGTGGAAAAAAAAATTATTAAAATGTATGTATGTCATATTTTATATATTAAAAATTTATATTTTTTTACAAATTTAAATAATTATACCAAACATCAGTAAATTATGTTTGAACTTAGCATAAAATCTAGAATTTTATTTTATGATTTTGTTTTAGAATTTGTTCTTTTTATGAAGAGCAATGAACAACCATTTGCCATTCTATCTAAACCTTTAAATTTACAGAATATTATTTTAGAATTTTTTTGTTTTATAAAATATAAAATGTAAAATAGTTATATCAAAACTTTATTTAATTTGCTTTAATAATAATTTTATAATTTTTTTGAAAACAAAAATAATGCATATTTAAATTATTCTATAATATTAATATTTTAATAATAAGTAATAATATAAGTAAAATAATTATTGCTTAAATAATAATAATTTTAATAGAGAAAATTATTTAGTAATGAAAAATTATTTAATGTATATTCTGTAAATAGAAATATTTAAATATTTTTTCATGAAGCACAATTTTTTTTAAAATTATTTATTATAGACTAATTTCATATAAGTTGTGGAAATATATATAATAAATATATAATAAAATTATAATAGTTACATATTTTAATTTTGTAAAAAAATTAATGATAAATTATAAAATTTTCTGCTATATATATGTACAGTTTACAATTCAATATTATTTAGATTTATTTTTTAAGAAAAAATTTTATTTTTGTTTTATTATAATAAAAAAGAAATAGATTTTAATTTAAGATGTAGTTAGTTAATGTGTAACAAACTTATGTCATTTAACATTAAGTTCATTTAAATTTTATCTAATTTCTTAAACAAGGTTATTGTGATATTAAAAAATCATTTCATATTTTATATTGTGCCATAGAAAGCTATACGAATATTCTCAATATATAAAATCATTAGCACAGGCTAGTTAATATAATAATTAATAATAGTGATTACTTTATTAAAATATGCTTTCATAATTGTAAAGAAATGAATATTCAATATGTGCACGCATAATGAAGATGCATAATGAAGATCACGAACTTTGTTCTTTAATATTAAGATCTTGATACATATTTTGTGATAAATTTTAAGTTTATTCAACTTTGCTTTTATAAAGAATTTAAGAACTATAATATTGTATGAAGATTATAATAATTTTTGATTGATTCAAGTTATCATTTAAATTAATTTATAAATATTCTTTATAAAAATAACATAAAATTTATATTTTTGATTTTCTCATATGAATGCATGTAAAGAATCTCAATTAGAAAAGATATTATAGCAGAGACTGAGTGTACTTTAAAAATATTGTATGGAAGATCTGTTTTATACATGAAGCTTTTATCAACGATTAAAAAATAAATGTTATTGTTAAACAATAAACAATATACTTTTTTCTAGCTTTTTTCTACCTTATTTATAAAAACATGAAATATTAAAAATCATAATAATTATCTTCAACACACAAAATATTATGATGTTCTTTTAATTGTTTTATTATATTTATTTACATAAAAAAACAATATATATTATATATTATATATTATTACCACAAAAATAATTGAAAAATAATTGAAAAATAACAATAAATATTAATATAATGTTTTGTATATTTTATATTAATTTTTATATATAATATTGAATTTATTATTAAAATTGATTTTTGATTATTTAAAAAACGATTGTTGATAGTTTATCTAAATAAATATTAATATAATATTTCAATGATCAAAAAATATCAATTGCAATTTAATGTAATTAATTTTAAAGAAATATATTTAACAATATTTTTGAAATAGAATTATTAATAAATTTTGGATTAAATATATGAAATGTATATTATATATATTTAAATATATATATATATATATATATATATTTAAAAATATTTTAAACTTTATTTTTTTCAAAAATCTAACAATTTTTTAAAAATATAAAAACTAAAATTTTAAGAAAGATAAGAAATTTTAATTAATTCTTTACGACGTAATTAAATTTTTTTTAATGCATCAATTGTTTAATAATTATAAATATATAGAGACATCTTTCTATCTTGTATAGATCATCATTTTGAACATTTAATAATCCTCTAGAAACTTCCAATAGCTCAATGAAAATTTATTACACAATTTCTCATGGTCTACTGAACTTATTACAATTTTTGTCTAATAATTATTAATGCTTTTGTTGATTTTTGTTGATTACTAGTTATTATTAATAAGTTGAAAGTTTTGATATTGTATAAGAGTATAAAGGACTAAGAGAGGGAAACTTTTAATGAGTTTTACGAATAAAGGGTATGAGAGGATTTCCTTATATAAAGCTGTTTCAAAGGATCATGGCTGACAGTATCTTGAAATCACAACATTGAACATTTTATGTTGTATTCTAAGTATTGTTGCATAAAGCTATTAAGGTATAAGGTATGTTTATGTATATTTTTAAGGTAATATTTATATATATTTTTTATATACACGTTTATATACACGTATATAAAATTGCGTTTTCTTTGTGACTTCGTTTTTTTTTAAATTGTAAATTTAAACTATTGTTTAATAATCATAAGTCTCAATTTTTTTCATTTTATTAATTTCATTGTTAAGATTGTGATTTTCATTATTCAAGATAAAACAGTGTAAAATAATGAAGAAGCATTTTGCAACTTTTTAACAATAAGTTTGAAAACGTCTCGTTTCTATGCGACAAAGATGCTGGTCACGTTTCTTATCCATAAGACACTTAGTAGCACTTACTTTTATCTTAATGACCAGGGATGCGTGTAGAGTTAATGGTTCTTTTAAAATTAGCACGTGGAAATGTACGAAGATACTCTAAAATTTTTCGAAAAAATCTCATGTGGCACCGCGTGTCAGTGAACGCGGAGATAAATGTATAGTTTTTCTTTGTCTTTTTTTTTTTATTCATTGAATCATGATTTTAAAATATTCATGAAAATGAGAGGAATAGTCTTTATTTAATTAAGACATTATCCAAATTGAATATGTTAAAACGGCTTCGATTGGGCCACGTGAATTTTAAATAAATGCATTTTAACATTTGTGAAATCATTTGCAAATCATTTTTTTTGGATAAGAATGCAAACGAGCAATTTACGAGTCTTTTCGCAAAGAAATATCATTATAATATCATTATCGAACAGAGAGCAGTGTATACAGTAAATCACGAAATAATTAAAAGTTATGGTTTTCTTGGATTTCTTACAGTTGAATATTTTGTGATGATTTCTTTTCCGTGAAATCTTTTTTTTTATTATTATTATTAAGAAAAAAATTACGTTTTTAGTTAGAAACTAATTTTTTTCAGTTACAAGTTAGATTGCACTCGTTACATTGTTAAAATAAATTACATTGTTAAATAAAAGTAAAACAGGTGACCGAGAAATCGAATAGCCTGGCTTATGAGATCTTAAATTGTTGGAATGGATCATTGATCCAGCAAGTCAACCGTGACACTTGAACAATCCATTGTTTTATATTAGCACTCGTTGCGCATCACGAGTTAAAACTGCGTTTTTCGTTCGTTCGACCACAGAAAAAGATATGAATTCAAACTGGTGAAAAATAAGCCTGATCGGAATTCGCAATACACTTTTCTTTTTGATTTATGGCGTAACAGTACTTGATAAATACGCACGATACCAATTTCTATGACAAGAAGAATTAAGTTCACAATGATTTCTACATAACTTTGAAAAAGTATCAATTGTCTATTTGGAATCAACAAAGAATTTTTGGCATCCATTCTATATTTTTTAAAATGTTTAAGATTCTTTATAGAGGTATTATTTAAATTCTTTTAAATTTTATTGAAAAATTATAATCGATGAAATATCATATCAAGAATAGAAATGTAATGATTTTTTTTTTCAATATTAAGAAAAGAAGAATTAATTTCTATATATTTTCCCTTTTTTAAACGGATAGTATATCATTTTAAAATAAACATATTTTTTTCAATATTTCAGATGGTTAACTCTCAAATCCTAATTTTGTTCATCTTATCATTGACTATAACGATAGTTATGTGTCAAATGTTTACGTATAGTCATGGCTGGACAAATGGAAAAAGATCCACATCGTTGGAGGAACTTGTGAATAGGAATCCAATTCAATCGGACAATGTTTTTGCCAACTGCGAGTTACAGAAATTGAGATTATTGCTTCAAGGAAATATCAATAATCAAGTAAATGAAAAAAAAGAAAAAAAAAATGGGAAGAAAATATTTTCTTCTTTCGCATTGTAATTGAAAACTTTTTATTTTTACAGCTGTTTCAAATGCCTTGTGAACTGCTTAACTTTCCAAAAAGAAGCTTCTCCGAAAATATGATCAACGATCATAGACAACCTGCTCCTACCGATAATAATTATTAATAATATCAACATTGTAATTTTTAGTCGTAAAAGCTTAATCGATTACGCCTTATTTATCACCAAATAAAGAATATCTTCAACGAAAATTTTTACCATCTCGTTTATTTATCACTTATTATTATAACTCGTGTTAAGATTAAAATATTACAGCCAATATTATATATTATATATTATATACGTACAATATATATATAGTTCGATATTTATATATCTATATATCGGTAATTTCAATTTCAATAAAGATATAAAAATTTTATCAAATGCTAAAATTCTTCAAGCTACGCGAAAAACGAGAAAGAAGAAAATAAAGAAGAAGAAAATAAGGAAAAAAAGAAAAGAAAAAAAAAGATAACGCATTTTACATTCGAGTGAAATTTAAATTTAATTTGATCCATCTTGGAGATTGAAGAAAAACAATAGCAGCATCGAGTGTCACTGAACTTTTCTGTGACGCTTTTTCTTTCGCCTCTTCTTCGTTTCCGATACAACTTGTCTTCGCTTGATTTCCCACACTCGTTTCTATTTTCGTCGGCTCAATTACAGGCCACGTTCCTATCGTCGATCGTGATCAATTATTCAATCCCGTGTATAGTTCACCTCCACCAGTATATATAATACAGGTTCGATTTAAAGCGTAATCGTTCATCAATCATGGTTAACGGGCAAATTGTTTTTATCGGAATCGCCAGCATATCTGGATTTGTATTAATTATCGAGTTCTCCTCGCGGGTATCCGCGGCCCATCCAGTTTTCATCGGGTCCATCCGAACGGTTAATTAAGTTTTCGCTGTCCTAATTGGACAGACGGTCAATAGGATAGATCGCGGCGGGTTGGTACTGCACGCCGTAGGGGATTTTGTCTGTCAACGGAAGATGGAGTGAAACCCTGGCGAATAGAGACACCTGCTGAGTCCATGGATTATCCCTTAGGACAACTTATCTCCAACTGCAATTCGCCGCCTGAAATTCGAAGACTTTCTATTTCGGTTGTACGCTTGATAACCAATCATTATCGGAGTGGGGATGATTTTTATGTTTACGACGATTAAGGAAAAGATTAAGGGGTAAAAAATATTTTCTACGATTTTTGAAAGAGGAAATTGAATCAAAAGCCAAGTTTATATAATCTTTCGAATTCTTTTCCGTCGAACGAAGAAAATATTTTTTTATCAATAAATATATTTGAGATAATATTAGTTTTTCATTTTCGTCGTATACCTCCAATATTGTCCAATAACATGATTCGTTTTTGCCCGATTATAGAATAGATCGTTGATCGAGAATTGGCTGCTAATTTTCGAGGATGGGAACGGGAGACCACCGATGCAATTGATAAAATGCGGTGCTAATTATAAATGCAAGAATAATGGCGGTTCACGTGCGAGTGTGTTTCACGTTACAGAGAAGAGAAGCACTCATGGTTATTAGTTGATAGTGTCAGGACGCGTATAACTATCATGCACGGGCAATGCACTTAAAACTTGGCTGTTAATCAGAAACCAATTACGGGAGGCGGGACGAAATGAGTTTAATCGCATTAAATATTAAAGCGTCGTCACCGTGCCATGGGACTGGCACCAACAACCATAGGTGACCCTCTTCCTCCATCCAGTCATGGAGCAACCACACACCGCCACGTGCCCGTACGAAAACGCTTCTCTGCCTTAATACCCCCGGGAATAACCGAACAACCCTACGCCAATGTCCTTTATAGGGTGGTGCTTGCCGTGCCTGCAATACGCATGCACGACCACTGCATTTGCTGATAATGCTCTTTTATACGCCTGCGTGTGCGTATATCATCACACTTTCTCTTTCTTCCTTTTTAAATACATTTCTTTCCTTTTCTTCTTTTTCCTGTTAACATATAAAATTCTTATTTCGATCGAAATTTTTGTTTCAAAATATATTTGTTTCCCCTGAAAAATATTGATAAATAGATGTACGAATCTCTGATGCGCAACTTACTCTCAAAATTTAGCTGGAAGCAGTGATTTTCAATCGTAAGAGGACCAATTACATTTTCTGGTAAAAATAGCGTAAACGTAAAAGAGTCCTCTGATAGCATTTGCGTCCAGATTTCCGGTCTCGTGCCGCGTGCATATTTCAGATCGGTTTGTTCCGCGGATGGCAACTAGAAAATCCGAGGTAATATTTCACCGAGATATCACGTCGCATTACGAGTTTTAAATTTACGTTTAGCTCGCGACACGAAAACGAATATCAACTATACAGAAGAAGGTTGCAACATAACACCGGTATAAATACATAAAATCGGGCAATCATCCTAAATGGGGAAGCCTCCTAGTGCGAGGAACGTCGTCTTTTTCGACCTGTCGTCTGTCGGCTGTCGTTTGTCGCGCGACAAGGGAGCCCTCGTATGGTACCAAGCACGAAAAAGTACGAAACAAACCGTTTGACGAGCATAATTCCGTCCTCGACATCATATTTGTTCGTTGCCTTTATTACTTTCACATTGGATGGATTGTTTTTCTTGATCCTTGAAACATTTGATCGTATTATCGGTTCTAGTTTGAGTAGATTCTTTTTGGACGATGTTTCGATCATATTGTGGGAGATCTTTGTATTATTACTGCTAATGAAAAACAATTTCTTTCAATATATACATACATTGGAGATTTTTATTTTATAAGATCTAATTATAAATGTACACGTGTATGTACTTACTTCTATTCTATGTAATATATCATTATATGTTTTCGATACGTCGAAATATATTTTATATATACTTTTACCTTTTATTTTTTATTTTTGCATTTTTTCTTCCTTTTCTTTTTCTTCTTTTTCTTTTTCTTTTCCCAATTTTTCCAAATTTTCTTTTTCTTTTCCCAATATTGTTTTCTCCGTTTTAAAAAATTTATATCACTGTTTCCTTTATAATGCTCTTGAAATAATTATTTCTAAAGATCGTAAAATTGTTGCACCGTTTCTTCTTTAACAGTTCTATGAACTGTCAATAAAGTAGATTCAATGCATTTTGCTTATATGATATAGAAGAATTGAAAAAAATTCGATCAACGCCATCTCGCGTTTGGATCCACGAAACTCTGACTTGTTACTAGCATAGCAGAATATGCAAGGAGGTATTCGTGACGTCACATATCGGAGAAGGAAAACAATATTGTGGGAGAAGGATAGAAAAACGTGCCACTATTTTTGGTTATGCAGTTCCTAATATTTTCGAATATTTTTAATACTATATTGAAAATTAATTAATTACTAATTTTTTACTAAAAATTTCTGTATTTTTAAGCTTGCATCTTGAAATTAAAACTTCAAACAAGTTTCTCATGTAAATTTTATTGTGAAATTCTTTCTAATTAATTATTTATTAATACGATTATTACAGAGAAATCGCAATCGCAAACTCTCGCTTCGTAATCGATTAATAAACAATCTATTTATTCGTTTAAACAACAGCAAAATTATGAATATAAATTATACGTGAAAGTAAAGGATGAAATAACATTTCAGATATATATATTTACATTTAAGAATAAATCCTACGTTAATAAGAAATTAATGAAAAACTTATTGCGCATCAATGGCGTCGGTTCGATACGACGTAATTAATCATTAATATATAATTAATTAAAAAGAATTTCACATTAAAATTCACACGAGAAACTTGTTTAAAATTCTAACTTTAAGATACAAGCTTAAAGGTATAGAAATTTTTAATAGAAAATTAATAATTGTTTAATTTTCAATCCTATACTTTCGGAATAGTGGGAGGTATTAGGAGCTGCATAACCAAAAATAGTGGCATGTCTTCTTTATCCTTCTCCCACAATATTGTTCTCCTTCTCCGATATGTGACGTCACGAATACCTCCTTGCATATTCTGCTATGCTAGTAACAAGTCGAAGCTTCGCGGATCCAAACGCGAGATGGCGTTGATTTCCGAACTCTTTTTAATAGACAAAATGGAAATATTTTGACCATACTATTACGTCCTATATACATTCTACACATATTTTTATTCTTTTATACGTCGTATATATATTTTATATATATTTTTTTCATATTGCAGCTTAAGAATAAATACCAAACAGATAAATATATTAAATTTTATAATTTGATTTGGAATAATGAAGAAAAAAAAAAAAAGAAATGAATATAAAATTATATCGCATTACAGAAAGATATATGTTAGTATAAAATATTTGTTTATCTCGAAAAAAAATTGAAACAAAATTTTGAATGCCATTTCCCTTTCAATATCATATTTTTCTGTTATTAAAATTCGGACAAAAAAAAAAAATTCTCAAAAATTTCGATTTTACATTAGAAAAATATAACTCGTGAAAAAGTGACAGGCGGAAAATTTTAAGAGTTTCTCATCGAAATTTTGTCATTTAAAAAAACTCACTTACTGTACAAAATTAATTTAATTTATAATTTCATCAATCAATCATTTTTGCAGGTATCGATCGTCAACTTTCCATACTCAATGTAATCACTTACGATTACAGTAATTTTCTTACATTACATTCGAATCTTCGCTTTTTACGATCTCTCCTCGAGAATTTTCTCTTTCTTCTCAAAATCTATCGAACGTCGTGTTATCAACGAGATAAAGAAAGGGCAAAGTTTGAACGAAACAGGAAACATTGTTATCCAGAGAAAGAGAGAGAGAGAGAGAGAAGAAAAAGAAGACGGAACGTGTTCTCGATTTTCGAACACACCTTCTATTCGGTCTCGGTCTACGATGTCGACCGCAAACGATCAGAAATAAAAATATAAATACAGGCGGAGAAATGGCCACGAAGAACAGGTCGTATTTACAGACAGGAAACGGGCTCCGTTTAGGCACAGTGTTTTAGGAAACGCATGGAACATTTAATGACTACGAAAATTGATCGAAACCGGTGGTATCCAACTACCACCACTGTCAATAGTTAACCCTGTTGTAACGAAAACGAAATGACCCTTCCTTCGTCCTACGCGAAATATGAAAAATTGTATTCCTCGTATAGTATGAATCAGACCTAAGTAAGTAT